TGTTGCACCCACAGCGCGCTCAGCCAGTGAGCAGGAACCGGTCTCCACATGGGATCCGAACCCTTGGCGGGAGCACCGCTGCACTCCCAAGCGGCGCACTCTCCAGTGCGCCACCAGGCTGGCCCTGCAGTAGGTATTCTAACAAAATTTTCTTCAACTGAGCACATAGATTGTAATTATTTTTCCATGAAGCACCAAAAACTATATTCTTTGTGTACTGTGTATATGTATATATGATAAAATGGTTAGGTGTTACTAAATACACACTTAAAAGATTATTTTGTAATTATTTTCTTAATTCATTAATGTTTTGATCTTTATTTAACATAATGTTTTTGGGGGTTTTTTTGGCAGCTAGCCAGTATGGGGATCTGAACCCTCGATATTTAATATTTTAAATACTCCAATTATTCTCTTTTGTCCAGGTTGAAGATAGTAAAAATATCTTTTAAGTGCAAACAGTTTTTTATTCAACTTAGAAAAGAATTGGTGAGTATTGGTCTAATAATTATTGATGTAAATGAAGTCTTTAAAGAAATCCCTAACCATTCATGAAAGAACTTTTCTATTAAATACAAGTGAAAGGCAATTTATACTTTTGATAACTGCCTACGCAGGTAATCAATTCACTTTTCATGACAAGGTGTACTTGTTTCTCCAGTGTGTCTGTGGTTCAGATTTAAAGTTCTTCTAGACATCCATTCTGCTGCTACTTGAACTTAGAAACTGACCTCAAATGTTGTTCATTATCAGTCCCCAAGGTTCAGTGATGAGGGTAATAACCGAGCATTTTAGGTATCCTTTTTCTTTTTTCTACTAAATTTACAGGACTTCCTTTCATATAAACCTCATTTCACTTTAGGGGAGCTGTTTGTTTAGTTTGTTTGGTTCCTATTTCATAAACTTGCAACACTTGTCCTCCCTCTGTTGGAGTGGTAATAGCCGTTTTATATATTATGTACAAATTGAGTTGTCATGGAAAGTACATGGAAACAGTTTCACCTTATAAATAATTTTATCTGTTTCATCAAATTAAACTAACTTTGTACTTTGATTTATGTTATTTCTTCGAAATCTTGGAAATCTTGGCAAATTAATGCACATGTCAAGATGGCTATGTAAAGTGTAGTTGAAACCTTAAATTGTATTTGACTCAACTGGATTTTATCAGAGAATATTGATCTAGTAAGTGACTATAGTTTATCTATTATGTTCACAAAATAAAATATACACCTTGATAAAGTGAACGTATTCATATCAGCACCTCATAGGTAAATATGTAGAATAGTATCAGCACCCCAGTAGCTGATGTTACTAATGGAGCTGATGCCCACTTTCAGTCAGTAACCCTCCCAAAAGGTAAACATTATTCTCATTTGTATTACATTGAATTAGTTTGGTTATTTTTGAATTTTAAAAAATGAAATCATACAGTGTATTTTCTTTTATGTCTGCCTTCTTTCTCTTTGTGAGGTTCATCCATGTTGTTGCATATAGCAACATATGAAGTCATCAACATTCTGATCAGAAATATTCAGAAATCAGCTCTGTTCTGACAATGGCACAACTCTGAAATCACCACTATTCTGACATCAGCACTATACTTATTTCAGCACTACTCTGACATTAGCACACCTCTGACATCAGCACTTAGTTTATAACATTTGTGTGTGTATTCCACTGAATTAATATATCTTAAATTAGTTATTCTTCTGTTAGTGGAAAATTTTACTATTTACAAGTTGGGGATATTACTTCTAATGCTGCTAATAGGACATTTGTGTACATTTTCAATAAATGTTTAGATATAATCTTATCTGGAAACTAGAGAACAAATAAAGTATTTTACTTTAAATAATTGTAGATGGCACTGTAGAATTCAATTTTTCTAGTTTGCCTCCTATCATAGTACTAGTGTTATTAGTAATAATGATAATAGTTATAATATTTAACATTTATGGAAAACTTATGTGCCTGGTAATATATCAACTGTCTTCATATCATTTCATACTCACGCTCATTCTCTAAGATACTGTACCACTTAGGAATGTGTTTACCTGCAAGTAATAACAGCAACCAAAGTCAACTAACAATTGATTAAAAATAATATATCAACTGTCTTCATATCATTTCATACTCACGCTCATTCTCTAAGATACTGTACCAGTTAGGAATGTGTTTACCTGCAAGTAATAACAGCAACCAAAGTCAACTAACAATTGATTAAAAACAGTATCCTTATTAATGTTTTTTCTCTAAAACATTTCTTTGTTTTTCCTATCCAAACTTCATAGAATGTACTTATCTCTCAGTACAATATTTTGTGTCCATTGTTTACAAATCGTGTGGGAAAAATTTTTGTTATATTCCATATATAATTGGTATAATGTCAAAATCACATACAGACTTTTTGAAAATTATGCCAAGTATCAAGAAAGTGGAAATATATATGCATCTTATATGTTGCTGACACTGAGAAGCATTACTGCCTCATACTCACTGTGAGACATTCTCTGTCATTTTGCATAATGTTTATGGTGTATGTAACAACATGTACCCTGCATGTATGTTAGTGCATATAAAACAACTGGTATCCATAATTAAGAATTAATTTTCTGGCGATAAAGAAGCAATTTTTTAAGCATATTACCTTCTAACATGATAGTTCATTACTTATACATGGACATTTTACTGTGATTTAGTCATGGATAATATCTTCATGACCTTTTGATGGGCAAAGATTTCTTTAACAGTACGTAGAAGGAAACCTTAACCTTAAAAGATAAGATTGATAATTTGGACTGTTTTAAAATTAGCAACTCTATTCATCAAAAGACATCATTAAGAAAGTGGAGTGTCACAAAATATGTATAATATACACACATACACACATACAAGTCCTTGGTTGTATATGCAACTGTAGTGGATTGAATTATGTCCCCCCAAAACTCATTGAAGCTTGAATTGTGTTCCCCAAGTTTTATATATTGGAAACTTAGCCCCCACTGAGACTGTTAAAAGGATTACTATGGTCATCAAAAAGTGGGGCCTTGAAAAGGTGGTTGGATTGTAGGACTATGTAGTAGTGAATGGATTAAAATGGTAGTCAGGGGTGTGGTTCTGAGGGCTTTAAAAGAAGAGGAAAGTCTGTCTTTCTCTCTGCTCTCTCTACTTCCACCGTCTTGCAAAGTGAGACTTCTGGTTCACTGTTTGTACCACCAGATGGACTTTGGACTTCTCAGCCTCAGAAACTGTAAGCAATGTTGTGTTCCCCAAGTTTTATATATTGGAAACTTAGCCCCCACTGAGACTGTTAAAAGGATTATTATGGTCATCAAAAAGTGGGGCCTTGAAAAGGTGGTTGGATTGTAGGACTATGTAGTAGTGAATGGATTAAAATGGTAGTGAGGGGTGTGGTTCTGAGGGCTTTAAAAGAAGAGGAAAGTCTGTCTTTCTCTCTGCTCTCTCTACTTCCACCATCTTGCAAAGTGAGACTTCTGGTTCACTGTTTGTACCACCAGATGGACTTTGGACTTCTCAGCCTCAGAAACTGTAAGCAATAAATGTCGTTTTTCTTTATAAATCACTCAGTTTGATAAATTTTGTTTTCTTTATAAATTACCCACTTTGAGGTATTTTGTTATAAGCAACAAAAATGGACTAATACAGAAAATTGGTACCAAAAGTGGGGTGTTGCTTATAACAGATACTTGAAAATGTGGAAACAGCTTTGGAACTGGCTATCGAGGAGAGGTTGGAGGAGTTTGGAGGACCCAGAAGAAGACAAAAAGATGAGGGAACGTTTGGAATGTCTTAGAGACTGGTTACGTGCTGGTAAGCAGAATGCTGATAGAAATATGGACTATAAAGACCATTCTAAGGAGGTCTCAGGTAGAAATAAGAAGTTTATTGGAAACTGGGGCAAAGATCACCCTTACTGTGAACTGGCAAGGAATTTGGCTGCATTGTGTCCATGCCCTAGTACTTTGTGGAAGTTGGAACTTAAGAGTTGTCAACCAGAGTATCTGGCGGAAGAAATTTCTAAGCAGCAAAGCATTAAGGAAGCTGCATGGCTACTTGAAACAGCATATGCTGAGTTATGGCGGCAAAGGCATGACATAAAGCTGGAATTTAAAAGGGAAGCCGAGTGTAAAGATTTGGAAAGTTTGCAGCCTGGCCATGTGTAGAGAAGCAGAGAGCATTTTCAGAAGGAAAATTCAATGGTACTAAGAAGATTAACACAAAGGAAAGGGATTATGAAGAGAAGGGGGAAAACTCCCTGAAGGCATTGCAGAAGCCTCTGGGGCCAGTCCTTCCATTTCAGGCCTAAAGGCCTAGGGAGACAGAATGGTCTTGGGGAACAGGCCCAAGACACCCTCCATGGGCTTGCTGCTCAGGGCCACCTGAGGAAGCTGCTTCCAGCACCAGCACCCCAGCTGCTTACACTGCTCCAGCTGCTTATACTGCTCCAGCTGCTTACGCTGCTCCAGCTGTGGGTTAATTGACCCCAGGTGTGGCTGGATGTGCAGCTTTGGAAAATTCAAGCTGGAAGCCTTGGCAGCATCCCTGTGGTGCGAGGTCTACTGGCTTGCAGAATATCAGAGCTGAGAAGGCTTGGGAACCTCCACCCCAATTTCAACGGATGTATGGAAAAGACTGGGGGCCCAGGAAGAGATCTGTCGTGGGGGCAGAGTCACCACAGATGGCCTCCACTAGGGCAATGCTGAGTGGACACGTGGAGTCAGAGTTTCAGCAGAAATACCCCAACAGCGCCATGCTTAATGGAGCCATGAGAGCGGGACCTCCTTGGAGACCCCAGAACTGTGGAACTACCAGAGTGGAACACCCGCCTGGGAGAGCTGAAGCATCACCTGAGGCCATAAAAGCCATAGAAGCAGAGCTGCCTGAGGACTTGGGGACCCAACCTCCACACCAGCGTGTAGAGGACATCGAACATGGAGTCAAGGTACATGATTCACCAGCTTTGAGATTTAATGCCTGCCCTGCTGGGTTTCGGACTTGTTTGGGACCTGCTACCCCTTTCTTTTCGCCTATTTCTCCCTTTTTGAACAGCATTACGTCCTCTATGTTTGTCCAACCATTGTATCTTGGAAGCAGATAACTTGTTTTGATTTCACATACAGGACTTTGGGGATGGAATGAATGTATTCACCTGTGAGAAAGACATGAACTCTGGGAGCCAGGGGCTCCCATTGAATGTGTCCCCCAAAGTCCATATATTAGAGGCTTAATTCCTACCATAAATGTTGAAGGTGGGAAATCCTATTATGGTAATTGAAAGGTGGGGCCTTGAAGAGGTGATTAAATTGACAGTCTCAGTGGGGGCTAAGTTTTCAATACATAAAACTTGGGGAACACAATTCAAGCTTCAATGAGTTTTGGGGGGACATAGTTCAACCCACTACATTCTGTCCCTAGCCCCCAAAACTCATGTCTTTTCACATGTAAATGCATTCATTTAATTCCCAAAGTCTTAACTTGATTCAACTCAAAAGCCCAAAGTTCAAAGTCCCATCAGTGAAATCAATATAAGTTATCTACTTCCAAGATAGAGTGGTGGGACAAGCATAGGGTATATATTCCCATTCCAAAAGGGAGAAATAGGCAAAAAGAAAGGGGTAGCAGGTCCCAAACAAGTCTGAAAACCAGCAGGGCAGGCATTAAATCTCAAAGCTGATGAATCATGTACCTTGACTCCATGTTCGATGTCCTCTGCACACTGGTGTGGGGGTTGGGTCCCCAAGTCCTCCGCCGGCTCTGCTCCTATGACTTTCCTTGTTGCAGGTGTTGCTTTGGCTCTTGCAGGCTGGCATTGCATGCTGGTAGCTCTATAATTCTGGGGTCTTTATGGCAGTCCTGCGCTCATGGCTCCCCTAGGCATGGCACTGGTGAAGTTTTTCTGCTGCAACTTTGACCCAACATTTCCACTTGGCATTGCTCTAGAGAAGGCTGTCTATGGTGACTCCATCCCTGTGACAGATCTCTTTAGGGGCCCCTAGACTTTTCCATACATCCTTTGAAATCCTCCAAAGCCTTTACAGCTACCACTTGGCATTGCTCTAGAGAAGGCTGTCTATGGTGACTCCATCCCTGTGACAGATCTCTTCAGGGGCCCCTAGACTTTTCCATACATCCTTTGAAATCCTCCAAAGCCTTTACAGCTGTGGCATTCTGTGAATCTGCAGACCTGACATCACATGGACGCCACCAACACTTTCGGCTTATAACCTCCAAAGCTATGGGTCCAGCCATACCTGGGGCCAATTTAGCCATGGCTGGCTGGGGCAGCCATAGTAGCTAGGATGCTGGTGCTGGAAGCAGCTTCATGAGATGGCTTTAGTAATTGAGGTAGCATGGTATTGATATGAGGAAAGATAAATAAATAGATATATAAATGAAACATAATAGGAAGTCCCTGGCCCTGGGCAGTGAGCCTATGTAGGGCGCCTCAGTCTTGTTCCCTGAGACCATCTGTCTCCCTAGTCCTATGGGCTTGTAGTGGAAGAGGTGGCCCCAGAGGTTTCTGCAATGCCTTGATGGCCTTTTTCTCCTTCTCTTCATAATCCCTTTCTTTTGTTCTGATCCTCTTAGCATCATTGCATTTTTCTCCTGAAAATGCTCTTTGCTTCTGTACCACATGGCTAGGCTGCAAGTTTTCCAAATCTTTGCATTCTGCTTCCTTTTAAATTCTGGCTTTCTGTCATGCCTTTGCTGCCATAACTCAGCGTAGGCTGTTGCAAGTAGCCATACAGCTTCCTTGATGTTCTGCTTAGAAATTTCTTCTGCCCAGTACCCTGGTTCAGCACCTTTAAGTTCCATATTCCATAAAACTTTTGGCATGAAAAGAATGCAGCCAAGTTCCTTGCCAGTTCACAGCAAGGGTGATCTTTGCCCCAATTTCCAATAAGTCCCTGATCATTTACATCCGAAATCTTCTCAGAATGGCCTTTCCTGTCCATTTTTCTAAAATATTTTGCTCAACACCATTTAACTGGTCTCTAAGAAGTTCCAAACTTTCCCAGGTTTTCTTGTCTTCTAAACTCCCACCAGCATCTAGGCTTTTTCTAGCCTGCTTCAAATTCTTCCAGCCTCTCCTCAACACCCAGTTACAAAGCCACTTGCATATTTTCAAGTATTTGTTATAATCAACAAATTCTCTGGTACCAGTTTTCTGTATTAGTCCATTTCTGTTGCTTATAACAAAATGTCTGGAACTGGGTAAGTTATAAGGAAATGAAATGTATTGCTTACTGTTTCAGGGGCTGGGAAGTCCAAAGGCCAGGGAACATATCTGGTGAGAGTCTTATTGGTGGTAGCTTTACAGAATGCAGGGTTCTCACATGGCAGAAAATGGCGAAGCAGAGAGAAAAAGTTCCTCGTGTGCTCTCCTTTTAAAGCCCTCAGAACCACACTCATGGCTACCATTAAAGCATCAATTCAATCACCTTGTCAAGGTTCCACCTTTAAGTTACCATAATAGGATTTCCCACCCTCAAGAGTTACAGTGGGAATTAAGCTTCTAATATATGGACTTTGGGTGAAACAATTAAATCAATCCACAGCTCTCTACATACCTACCAGAACAGTTAAAGGAAAAAGACTGATAAACCAGTGGTTGGTGAGTATGTGGAACATACACTTCAGAGGTGGGAGTAGGTGTATATTTATCTAACCATTTTGGAAAACAGTTGGGCATTATCTACTAAAGCTGAACATATGCATATCTTATGACTCAACAACAGAAATGCACATATTGGTACACCAGACAACACCAGCATTATTCTTATATCCCAAACTGGAAACATTAAATATCTATCTACAGTAAAGTAGATAAGTAAACTATGTATTCATTACAGTAGAATACTATGAAAATGAAAATAAGTGGATTACTACTTTACAACTATATGGATGGATATCAGAAACATAATGTTGAATAAAAGAAGCCAGACCTAAAGACACGTGTGATTACATGTATATACAGTAAAGTTCCAAAACAAGCATGGTGATAAAAGTCAGACTGCCTTTGGGGAGGTAATCTGGAAGAAAGGGGAGACAAAGGATACTTGTGAGGTGTGGTACTAATGATCAGTTTCTTGATCTGAATAGAGGTTAAATGGTTGCATTCATTGTGTGAAAATAAAATTGTACACTTACAGAATATGCACTTTGCTATATATGGTTTACTTCAATGAAATTATCTAGTAATTTCTTGAAAAACTTTTCCAGAAAGTTGAAGAAATTATTCTAGTGCTAATTAGTTTAAATTTTGAATTTTATAATACTGTTTACAGATGCTGAATATTCTTATTTATTTATAATCTAGACAGATTTACAAAATTAGAGATGTTTTAGAAGGTACAATATATCTTAAAGTTTAATTCATAGGATAGAATTATATTTTGAAACAGAATCATAGCTAATAAGTTTTGAAAACAGCCATGTATCAAATTTTTAAACTTATTTTTAACTATGGTCTAAGGTAACAGTTTCTAAAAATTGTAATATTACTGAATGAGGTCCACATTTTACAAATCTTTTCATTTATTTTACTGCCTTTTTATTGGATAAGCAAAAAAGAACTAGAGGGATTAGCGTTTACAAGGCTAAAATAATTTATCTGTCAAAAGTATGTTAAATGAAGCAATATATTCTGATATTTTCTGCTGTTTTCTGTATTTTGTCATTTATTACAGCATGAATCTAGAGAAACATTATTGGGATTTAATATGGTGAATTACAGAGCATGTAAAAATTTGTGGAAAGCATGTGTAGAACATCACACATTCTTCCGTTTGGACAGACCACTTCCACCTCAAAAGAATTTTTTTGCACATTATTTTACATTAGGTTCAAAATACCGGTACTGGTAAGTATTGCTTCTGTATTAAGGCTTTTTTGCAGGATTTCTCCCTCTCTTTAAAATAAAGTTTTAGTTTATGGAGCCATAGAATCTTTATTATTCATACACACCTACTGAATCAAAATCCACACGGGAACAGCCTCTCTATCTATATCAGTAAAAAGTTATAGATTTTTGTGATGTACACCAGGTTCAAGAGATTCATTCTGTTGACTATATTCTTATTTTCTAAAGTAAATTTACCACATTTACTTATTTACAACTTAGATACATTGTAATTTTCATTGTGTATTTATTAAATATTTACATGAAAATTTTTCTTTATTCTAAGACACATTTATTTTATTTGTAGAAACCAAGGTGTCAGTTGATTAGAGCGCAGCATTATAACACTAAGGTCATGGGTTCAAATCCCCCTACCGGCCAGCACCAAAAAAAAAAAGTACACGGTGTCTTCTGCATGAGTATGCAATTACTTTGGACTTGTGTTTTTAATCAAGATTTTGCATAGTTTTGACTTGTTAAACCCTTTGTTGTAAAGAGTTTAAAACAGCCACTAGACACAATCATGTTTAGTGCTGCCCGATTAGCTCATTTGGTTAGAGTGGTATTATAACACCAAGGTCAACGGCTTGGATCCCTGCTGGCCAAGCCGCAAAAAGAAAAAAGAAAAAAAAAAAAAAGATT